TTAAGGACAACAACATTCAGGAACAAAAACACTTTATCAAAAGCATAAATATGGAAGGCAATTCTTTAACAAAAGTGCCAAGGCTGAGTGGGTTGTAAAGGTAATTGTTGATGGATTGAAGAACAACACAAAAATGAAATTAAATGAGGTGGTGCCAGATGTGAGCTTAAGTATGCAACTGAAATACTAGGATGTAGAGATTTTAAGGCAAGTCAATTGGCAAGAAAAATTGTTGAAGGGGATTCTAGCAAACAATACATCTTGCTTTGGTCATATGGTGCAGAGTTGAGGAGGGCATCAGCTGGTAACACATTCAAGTTAAACATTACTGCACCATTTCCATGGATGAAACCAAGATTTGAGAGATGATATATGTGTTATTATGGGCCAAATAAGGCTTTGAAATATGCTTGTGGGCCTTTTATTGGGTTAGATGGATTCCATTTGAACAATAAGTATGGGGACATTGGTGGACCTGATAGAGATTCTGGAAATACTTTGGTGATTAATGATGATGGAGAAACCACAATGAAGAAAAAAAACATGGGAAGATATTTCCAAGGGGCTTACTCAATGAAGAAAGTGTTGATAATATTTCTACTGTCATGTGTTTATGTTGTTTTTACTTCTACTATCATATATGTTTGTTTTGAATGGTGTTGTATCGCCATGGATTATGCTTGTTTTAGTGTTTTGAATGGTGTTGTATCACTGTGGATTACTTTTGTTTTAGTGTTTTGACTGGTGTTGTATCACCATGAATGCTTTTGTAATATTTTGTTAGCTTCATTGACTGGATTTCTGCAATATGAATCAATGTTTGCTATCAAATCATCTCAAACAATGTTTTATGAATTTACAAGTCATTGCAAAATTACAGGTCATATAGTCCAAATTATGGTTTTATTGATTTATAGGTCATTGCAACATTACAGGTCATATGGTACAAAATTATTGGTCATTGCAACATTACATGTCCTTCACTTAAATGTAATTCAAAACTCAATCATTTATATCACATAATAACATTCTATTAACAAATTGAAAACCATTACATTAACAACTTAAATGATATTACATTACACACTACATTACAAACATAAAAAACATTACTTAAACTAATAGATTGGCATCAATATTAATAAAAGACAAGCAGGTTGAGCATTCATCAACATTTACACTTCAACAACAAAAACATATTGAGCATAACCAAAAATAGTAAAATACAATACAAATAGACTTAAATTTTCCATGATAAGGCTCTAACTTAATCTTGATTTGTAGTTTTTTGTTCTTCTAGTTTCGTACATCTCCTTCAAAATTTCAACTCCTTGCATCTCCTTCGAGTACCTTTGTTCTTTGCTCCAATCCTCATCAACTAATTGCTCGACCTAATTTCCTTGTGCTAGGTATTCATCTCATATAAACAGGTTACATGTTGTATCACTTTGCCAAAATGGGCATCTCCAGAAAAACTTTCCTCTATTATGTCCATGCTTGCAAAGATATGAAATCATACGAGCATTGCAAGAATAATTTCTCCCTGAACAACGACTACTTCTGGTTGTTTGATGTGATGACCCTGACTTGTTGCGCCTAGTACTCGATGCCATGAATATTCACACTGAGAAAACGAAGAAGGAAATAACTGGAAGTGGATGAAAGACAAACTGGAAGCAGATGAAAGACAAACGCGAAGGAGAGAACACAAACACGATCAACAGAAGACAAATGAATTGAAAAATTAGGGTTTTTTTTTCTTCTGGGAATGAGATTTTATACAAAAATCACTAATCTACGTTGTAATTTAGACGTGGCAAAAAGATTGAGCTTTGGGTGCCATTAACTCATTATTAACGGGAGGGATGAAAGTTATGGATGGAAAACTTTGTGATGACCAATGTTTGAAGTAAATTTTATGAGGGACTGGAAACAAATTTCGTGATATTTATAGGATCTTCAAACATATTTAACCCCATTATATAATCACTATAATTCTGAGATATTATATATCATTTATTTATTGAAGAATCAAAATTCATACAATATTAAACACAAAAATGATATTATTTACCTTTCATTAAATATGTGATTGAATGATAAAATAAATATAAATATATAAAAAATAATATCAAAATAAAAAATATTTATATAATAAAATATTAATTATTGTCTAGGATAAAAACAATATTAATGTTAACTGGGCTTGATGTGAATCATAACAAATGCAAGGTGTATTTTAGTAATGTGTAGGCTACTCATTAAGAGGTCATCAAAAACTTAACCAAATTCTCTACTAGTCTTATGCCTTTTAGATACCTAGGCATTCTTCTTACTAGTAAAAAATTATCAGTCAATAATTGTATGATTCTAGTTGAAAAGATTGTGTCTAGAATTAAGCATTGGAGTTCGAGGTTATTAAACTTTGCTAGGCGTATGCAGTTGATAAAAAATGTTATGTTTGCAATATCTAACTATTGGATGCAATGTATGTCTATTCCTAAAAAAGTCATCAAAGAGGTAGAAGTTGTTTGTAGGTCATTTTTATGGTTGGGAACTTATCATAAAATCACTAGGAAATTGCCTATAGTTTGGGACAAAGTGTGAAAACTAAACAAGCAATAGGGCCTGAACATAATGGCTTTAGCTGAGTGGAATAAAGCCAACATCTTAAAGCTTGGAATACATTGTTATTATACAAAAAGAATGGATATTTGAGATGTGTCTGTGAGAAAGCTTGGATTTTTAAAGCAATTCTAAAACAGAGGGAGAGTGTCCAACAAAACCAAACATGGAATCATATGCTGCAACAGGAGAAATTCAACACGGAGGTCATTTACAAGAAATTTCAAGTGCTGAACCAAGTGGTTAAGTGGAGAAGAATTATGTATGAGAATGTGCAAGACCAAGGACTTTGTTCACTCTATAGATGACATGCCACAACAGACTTGCACTCAAAGACAGATTGCATAAGTTTGGATTTATTGACAATAACATGTGTGTGTTTTGCAGGCAGACTGAGACCATACAATATTTGTTGTTTGAATGTTCAGTAACAAGACAAATTTGATTACAAGTCCTTAATTAGATCCAAATAAGACACTCTCCTGGAAGATAGAATGAGAATCTTAATTGAATTATTGAGCAATGTAAAGGAAAAGGAAAGAAAATTGTCATTCTAAAATGTGCTATTGATGAGACCATAAATAAAATTTGAAAGTTTAGAAATAATTGTTGCTTTGGAGAAAGGACGGATTGGACTATACTTAGGTCTAGAATTATTGATAGCATTGTTTATAGAATTTGAATTAAACCAAAGCTTAGAGATTACATTAGTAGGCTCATGATACCTTAAGAGGTTTTGTAGTTTGTTTTAAATTGTTGATCATCCTATTTGTATTTGTTTTTGAAGCAATAAAAGTTTTCTTTCTTCAAAAAAATTTTTTATGATAGATTAAAAAAAATGACAATACAATATTTTAACAAAAGTTCTATATTTTTAATTGAATTTAATTGATATGTATTATTTTAAACTTAATCATACTTGTTAGATTTTTGACAATGTTTTATTTTCTATTTAATCGTTCACCAACCATGTAAAATACAACATAAATTTATAAGATAAAATTTAATATTTATCATATAAAAAAATCTATACAAATTATCAATGTCAATAGATATAGCATAAATTTTTATATTTTAACTTTATATATTATCAACTAAACATAAGCCTTTATATTTTAATTCTATATATTATCAACTAAAAATATGAGATTTTAGATAATTTTATCTTTAATAATAAAATGATAGATCTAAATTATTATTTATTAATTATAGTATATTATGTAACACCGACACTTCTAAAAAAAATGTGTTTGTATTAGTATCAAACATTTGTACCGACTCTTATAATTATGTTTAATTAATTTATTTTTTTTAAATTATTATCAGTATCGCTGTGTTAACATTGATGTCAAATTCAAAGTATCTGCACTTCATAAATAGTACATAATTTTATTTATTTATTTTTATACATGTTTTTTATTACAATCATAAATAAAATATAATATTTTATATGAATATCCTACAATTAAGTAGTAAACTTCAAAATAATTTTATTTTCTCCAAAAAGTTAATAAACACACCATATATTTTTTATATTTATGTAAAAAATAATTATTATGTTGCTCAATCCGCACCTATCTAACTATATTATGATTAAAAGATAAATTCTCATAACTTTAAACAATATTAGTATTTTAAATACAGATTAAAAATAATTATACTAATATTCTAATATTTTAAAATATATGCAACAACTAAATTAAAAAATAAAATAAAAAATAATTAAATTATATGAAACATACCTAGTTATTATTCTGGTGGACAATTCCCAAAATAAGGGTATTTCCATTCTTCATTTATTTATTTAAAACACTAATTTACACTAATTTTTAAAGAAAGTTAATTATGTAATAGATTCTTCTGTAATATTTAAATTACACTGCAATAAGGGTATTTCCATTCTTCATTAAAATTTAATTATGCCTTTAAATTTACTAAAAATTTAGCTTAAACGTGCCCCATGCAAACTTAACACCTAAGTCATCATCACTAATAAAACTAAATTAAGTTATAAATAGAAAAAACAATAAATCAAGTTCAGTTAAAATGATATTTGTAGAACTAACTGAAAATTGGAATACCAGCGTTATCATATCAATTAAAGTAATTAGAAAAAAACTGTATTGCAAATGCAAATATTATTAACTCTCTAACGTTACAGGCTTGCACTCTGCATGAGAGTACAGCAAAATGCCCCATTTCTTCTTACATAAAAATATCCACTCAAATCTGATTTAAAAACTGTAAAAAATAATACAAGAAAATAAATTGAGATTCACTTCCCCAATTCAGTTCTACAGGCAAATCTTAAGTAGAGAAATGCTGCTAAGTTAAAGAGAGACAATCTAAGGTCCCACAAAAGATGCTTATGATAATTATGAAAGAACAACACCAATCTTCTTGGCAAAATCATCACCATCTTCATCTTCTTCCATATATTCTTGCTCTTGATTTTCCCCCTCATCAACTTGTTCATAATCATACTCCTCGTCACCTTGCTCATATTCATAGTCTCCCCCTTCCTCTCCTTGATCATCGCCTTCGTACTCTTGTTCTTCGACAGCTTCATCGTATATTATTCCATCCTCGGGCAACTGATGAGTTACATTAGTGTTTTCAACCTCTCTTCCAACAACATCAGCAGCCCGATTCTTGGATTCCTCTTCCTTGGTCTCTAACAATGCTCCGTTTTCAGTTATTCCTTCATTCTTATTATTATAGGCTGATTTGCTGCTCTGAGAAGAGGCTACACCAGCTCCAACTCCTTTCTTCTCCTTCAGAATTTCACTGAGAGGCTTTGGACCTTCAAATGGAACATCATCTTCATATTGTTGGTAGCTTTTCCTCTTCCCCAATGATTGTTGCTCTGTACTTTCAGGGTTTCTCCCATATTTAAGTTCAGCAAGACTTTTAGGTGCAGAGAACCCACTTCGGTCTCCCAAAGATCGACCTCTGAAGTTTCTCCTCTCATCATCTGGCAACCTGTCTCTCATTCTATCGTGGATCCTTCCCTCGTGAGGAGGGTGCAGCCTTCCAGATGATAACCTGCTACTGATTCTTCCTCTGTCCAGGTCCCTTCCTCTGTCCAAGTCCCTTCCTCTCTCTAAGTCCCTCTCTAAGTGACCCTCACCACCATTCGGTGGAAGTGTTATTCTTCCTCGGAAACGATTATTGACGGATCTCTCATTCGAAGATAAGTGGAGCGAATCTTTCCGAGAGAATCGACGACTTTGCTCTTCGTCATGAGTGACAACAGATTTCAGACCTTTCCTGCGCTTGGATAAACGATGTCGGAGATCTGAGACCTCAACACTGTCAGGACTGCGAGAACTGTTACGAGTCCTTTCTGTATGGGTTGATGCCTTCCTAGGTTCCCAACCATATGGCTCTTGCATGTGATCATATGAGTCATATGCTTGGGGCACACGAAATCTATCTCGATCAATATCAGCAGCTAAACTATAATCAGCAGAATGCCCCACATCATACTCATTCAAAGGGTCTAGGCCACTTTCATCTTGAGCTCTTGTTATACCAAATTCATCTTCCCCGTGATAGTAATCAGAATTCCTAAGTTCGTCAGCTACAAGAACATCAAACCCAGGAGATGATTCTCTGAGAAACTCGTCACTGTCCTTACCACTATGGAAACTGTGATCATCCGGCAGACGAGGTTGATGCACACGATTAGACCGGGCTACATTAGGCCCGTTGGTCAGCGGTGGAGAACTAGGTGCCTTAAATCTTGAAGCCTCATTGTCAAATCCTGAAGGTAGAGTTGCCGGCACATGCTTCTCCAATTTAAATATATTTTTCTGTGGAGCAGTTTCAAATTTTTTGACATTGACAGGTTTAGCTTCAGCTGCACCTCCAACATTTGCTTGGGAAGTTTTCCTTTCCTGTGTATGTTTTTCAGTGCCACCAAAAGGTTTCTTAAAATTTGGATTCTCAGCTCCTTGGTTGGTGATCGAGCCCTGTGTAGCTATTTTACTGCCATTGTTAGGATTTGGTCCATGCATGAAGGCACATCTGTCTCCTTTTAAGCAAAACCCCTTTTGGAAGAAAATGCATGGGACAGCTTGTTTACTAGAATTATAAGGTGCGTGCGCTGCAGATGTTGTTGCAATCTGTGGCACGGATACAGATGGTCCGGCAGCAGCAGTTGCAGGTGGTGTTCCTAACAACCCGTCAAGAGGCTGCATGTGAAAACAAAATACTGTTACTATAAGCCATATAAACAAGCGAAAAATCGTATGGCAGAAATTAATTCATAAATCAGCAAAAAACATAAGTAAAGAAAACTACTGCACATAAAGAAACTCACCGGATGACGGAATGAACACTTGGGATTCAAGCAGTTACCATTCAACCAATAATAGCAATCTCTAGGATTTACTCGAGCATACTCACTATGGCGGTACTCGCATTCATTTCCCTATTTCAATAAAGAAGAGAACAAATCAATATGACGTAAGAAACAAAATCAAATGATTTATCAAGTTTCAGTATCTAGATAACCATGTACTCTAGACAAAAAATACTCATTATTGTATCATGCAAAAAGCAAAAGCTAATCATTGCCAAACCGAAAAAGATAGAAGCAGCAATTATTAGAATGACTCTATAAAAAATAGTCAACAAAAACAACTTATAGAATTAATTACTCAATAAAAAATCTGCTAACAAACACAATACACACTAAACTGTCAACAATATTAAAATACCCTCGCCACAAACTTTGTGACAGTTTTACTCAATTGATCTCAGCTTAATCCTCTGTAGCTGGATTCATGCAATTGATCTAATTAATTGAATACCCTAAAATCACAATAGGGTTCAAGAACCCTAACCCTGTTAATCCTCATTCCCTTTACCCACTATGTCAAATACAAAAGGAAGTGTCAAACAGAGAAACAAAAATTGCTCTAAGATAGATCCAATAAACAACATAATGATCAATTAGGTTTTTGGAAAAAGGTACCAAGAAACGCAATTGATCCAAAAATTCAGTCTAGCAAAAAAAACTCATCATGGATATCAACAATCAAATTCTTGTTGGGAATTCCGACAGACGTAATTTAATCCAAGAAAATCAAACCCCTTTTAACCAAAATTCGATTTGATTTTCAAATCAATGATTAAACGATGGAAGAACCGAATCTGAAACCCTAAAAGATAGAATTGAAAAAAGGGGCTTTTTAGAAGAAAATAACCTTTTTGCATGTCAAGGGAGAAGCAAGAAAGTAGACACAATCGGTGTTTCTCTTCAAGGCTTCGTCTTGAGGAGAAGGTGTAGGTTGTTGAGTCTGAATCTGAAGTTGCGGGTGTTGGGCAACCATGGCGAACCCAACTCGAAAAGAGATTGAAAAGAAAAGGGAAAATTGGATCTCAATCTCAATCTGAGAAGAGAATTAGTAGAGAGAGAGCCGCCACAGAAATTGGAGAGAGAGAGAGAGAGAGAGAGAGAGAGAGAGAGAGAGAGTGAATGTTGTGATGATGGGCTTTAAGGGTAAGCCTGGTTTGTGTTTAATTTGATTTGATTTTTGTCGAAATTGAGATTTAGATGTCTGTTGTGTGCTTTTAAATGGTTCGGTTTCAATGAGGATCTAAACGAATATATTATGGGACACCTGTCCTATTTCTGTTGACTGCCTTGCTTTGTTATCATCTTCTCTCTCTTAACCAAATTTTTTTATTGCAATTTCATCCATAATTATAATATAATACCCGTGCACGGGATAAAAAACATTTATAATTAATGAAGTTATGATAGTATTATGAAACTACATAATAAAATGAAAATCAGTTATGACTTATAAAAATTACAATGACTTTAATAGTTTACATATTTTATTAACATATGTCAAAAATGAACACAGCAAATTTTATCCTAGCATGTATAATTAAACTAATCTGTTTTTCTTAAATTTCAATCTCAGTGATTCAATCATGCCTTCATAGATCAGGAAAGTAATACCTTTCATTAGATAATACCAAATAAGAAAACAAACCATGTTCTTTCCATTGAGATTTTTCACTATTTGTTTGAATCACAATGTAGGCATGTAATGCACATCAATCACATTCACTACAACATACACCTTATTACTATTAGAATTTCTTAACATTGACATAATTATCATGGAAAACAAAATTCTGAACAATACTTGAAGAACTCTTCATTCATTCATAAAGTCAAACATATATCACAAGATGATTGTATAAAACAAAACCATTTACATCCATGAATTAGATGATCTAAAACCAAAATTTAAACTGAAGGAGAATAGGACAGGTCATGGTATGTACACATGAAACCTGCATGACTTGTGGTTGGATTTCCATCATCATTCAACATTACACGAAAACAACATTGAGATTGGTCCTCCAAAACTACAATATCCAACTCAAATAATATTGAGGTAATATAACATCAAAATGAGTGAGGCAAGGAAAAAAAACAGTATATAAAATAAATATGGTTAGTATTGAATATTTTTTTGCTTTGATTTTCCATTTGATAGACTAAAATATAAAATTAAGATTTTAGCATTATAACATTGAATAATCCATACTAAAAAACATGATTTTGATTTTTTTTCAAAAAGTAATTTATTCAAATATTGTGAATTTTAATTATTCAGGTATGTATATCTCAAATTCAACTCCAAATATCTCCTTGAAAAGATAAAGGCAATCATTATGTATCAGAACAACAATTTGATTAAATAAAGATAATTGTTATGCATCAGAACAACGATTTGAATGAAGCTACCAAGCTGCTTCTCTAGCTTCACAAACCAAAAACAGAAGTAATTACTCAAGTTGAATTCATGCACATTGAGAAGAACAAACACTTAAAGACAATGTTCACTAAGGCTCTTTTTTGTGAGTTTCGGGGAGAGGGATTTAGGTAAAAGGAAAATAGAAGGAGAATTTTGTAGGATTTATATATTTTTTTCAAACTTAATATATGTTAGTTATTGAAATTCTGGCATACACAATATATTAGAAGTTAAGATAGATGTCTCAACAACACACAATATCACAACAGTTGTTATGATATCTGCTGACAAAATAACAAGATAACAAGAATGCAGAATTATAACTTGCAGAAGATAAAAGAACACACATAATTGTTAATCCAGTTCGATGCAACTAACATATTCTAGGGGCTACCAAGTCAGAAAGAAAATCCACTATCAGTAATATCAATTCAGAGCTAAACAATCTCAGTTTACACCTCTCACTTAATCCCTATTCAGTGCAACTTCTACCTAGGCACCTCCTAGATATGAGAATCTCTCTCACTCCCGATCACCGCAGTGATATCAAACAATCTCAGTCCCAGGGAATATCTCAATAAACCAAAAAGGAAGAACACACTTCCCAACTAAAAATACTTAGTTTGCTTAAAAGCTTCATTAAGAACAATACTCAACTCTTGCTTAAAAATTTCGAGGAGAACAATAACTTGATAAACAAGTAACAATCAGTTAACTCAAATGCATCAAAGATACACGAGGACGTACAAAAACACACGGAGAACCTAAGGAACTGTCAAAATCTAAATCCTTATTTTTACAAGGTTTTACAATAAAAGATATGCTTAAAAAACTAGGTCTTGACGACTCCTTATATAGACTTCTGCAGTTGATCTTGGATATTTCAATCAAATATAATCTTCAGCTCTAAATCCCTACAGAATATTCTCCACGGGAATATAAACAAAACAAGTCTTTCAAATATTTCATTAAAAGTCTCAAAGATCCTTTTTATGAGATAAATCAAATTTATAATTATTCCTATCAATCATTGATTTGTTGCACCTGTTATGAGTACTAGAAACCTCTAAAATCTCATATTTTTCAATCAAATCTTTAAGGATAAATATCCAGCTATACCATAATGATATTTTGTTGCAACATGTTACAATATCTGATAGAACATCTGTCAAATAGGTACATACAGACTTTGTTGTACCAGCTGGTCAAGATGTTATGACATCTTGTTAATATTAGGTTGCTGAAATAACCGGCTGAAAATCATCAAACAATAAAGTCGTCATCGAACGTCTTTTATCCCATATGGAGGAAAAGGTAAACATCGAAAAAACCTGAGAAGGGAGAAGTCACGGTCTTGCGACCGAGAGATCGGATAAGGGAGTCTGTTACACGAGGGGAAGGTATTAGCATCCCACACGCATGTAGTACTCTACGGTATCCACTCTTGTTATCTATCGTATGGGTGTGTTTAATCTATCTTACTGTTTACTACTGCTAAAGAATGCATGCAAAAGAAAGGGGAAAAGAATGTAGGAAAAATAAAAGTTGTACTCGTTTGGGCCCTACCCCAATGCCTACGTATCCTTTTTGAGGAATCAGAGCTACCGTAGTTCGGCTCACATGTTTTTGTTTGTTTTGTATTTTTTTATGGATGATGTTAATTCCATCTTCTGTCGCAACTCGACCTTTAGAGACTTATGCGTTGGCATAGAAGTAAATTGATCATGTCCTTGCTTGAAAAGGTTTCGAGTTACGCCCTCGAGGCAAGATGCCACATTTGATTTGTTTGTGTTTTGTTACCTTGAAAAAGGGTTTAAGTGAGATCAGCATGTTTTTGATTTGCTAAGAAAAGAAGTTTTAGTTATAGATGCATATGCAAAAGGAGAAGAAAAGAGTCTAAGGGAGACTATCCTATTTCTAACCTAATGTTATCATACAATGGTGGCCCTATGTCAAGGATAAAAGAGAAATCTCTACCTAAAGTTAGCATGCATGGTTTGCAACCTAAAGTCTTACTTGCATCCGAATGGAGCAAGCACGTCCTAAGGGAACATGGTATGTACAGAGATAAAGCAAACAAGATAATAAGCTCAAGAGAGCACACCTAGAGAGATCTTATCTAGGTTAGCATACCAAAGAAACTCTAACAAAACTATCCTATAGGGAACATGCAATGAGAGCGAAGTCGTGATCTCAATTTCTAAATTGAGTGACTCATCGATTAACAAAAAAATAAAGGAAAGCGATAAAATCCTATAGGGAGCATGCACTAAGAGTGAAGTCGTGATCTCAATTTCTAAATTTAGTGACTCATCGATCAACAACCAAAGAAACAAACACAAGCACAACACATACAACAAATAAAGTGCGGAATTCCTGCTACAGGTCTTTAAACAGCGACTTCGAGCGCACGCTCTTTATTTCCTACTTTTCATGATACCTATAAAAACAATAAAGAAATGCGATAAAATGCGGAAATGAGGAATAAAATAAGGTCACGATGATACTGAATGAAGAAGGTCTATTGCCTCTTCAAGATCACGTAAGCGAAGAGAAAACTCTACAAAAATTCCTTGATGAAAATTATGCTTTTTATTTACTTTGAAACCTCATAAGATTCTTCAATAATTATCACCATCAATTAAAAATCAATCTCAATAATTATACAAGGTAAATAAAAAAACCAAAGAAACCCAGAGGTGCAACCAGCATCCAGGAGGTATAGTCCAGCAATTTAGCATGTGGCACTAAGCCTTTCAAAGAGGGCCCAATAGCATTTTGTGTTCAGCTCAGACACATAGCTTCACACAAAAAACAAGGATAACAGGCTTAAGACGAAGAATGTCGTTTGGCCCATCAAATTAACCACAATCCATCCTTTTGATTTCCATTGTTTATTCCCTTGGATAAAAAGAAAACACAAAATGAAATTAAAGGGGATGGGTCATAAAATTAGGTTATAGTAATGCCTCTTCAACTTCTTGTTGTGTTCTTATTCTTCTCTCTTCCATAGATGTGCCGCAAAACTCAACCTTCCTCAACACGTCTGCCTTCTTCTCCGATCAACTCCTGATCATCTTCCCCTTCTTTGTCTCATTTTACAACTATTATTCTCAAATTCCTCGCAACAAATTCCAAATCTATGATTCAAACATGGAATCCTAACACTGAAAATCTGAATCAAACACCGATAAAACGTAATACATAGCTACAATCATGGGGGAATAATTTATGATTCCGAATGCTACGATGTGATAACAAGCAATAGGGGAACGGTGGTGAACCACTTACCTCTCTAGTGGCAACGACACGATACTTTCGGTGACAGTCAAAGAACCAAGGTAAGCCTGTTCTCTTCTCGCATTTCCTTCTTCTTTCCACTCCTCTGAATTTATGTGTTTCTCGTTACGGTAATGATGTAGCGTTGCACTTTGATGTAAGTGTTTGTTGTTATCTACGATGAAGAAGCTTGTTGATACCGTTGATGAAGGTCGAAGATGAAAATCAAAATTGAAGGTTGTTGAAAAGGTAAAGCGAAAACCACAGAGGTTACA